TATTTACCAAACTACAATTCCTACACCATTTGCTTATCAGCTAGATCTGTTTCAGTTCATATCATATAGTCCAGTAGCCTATGTATTCTCCTGGGACAGTTTTCTAGTTATTTGGTATTGATTTCAAGAACTGTGCATTTTTGCAGACTCCTTAGAATATGGATACAGGTCACACACTCTCACATTCAAGTTAAGGGTTAAATTTACCAAACTACAATTCCTACACCATTTGCTTATCAGCTAGATCTGTTTCAGTTCATATCATATAGTCCAGTAGCCTATGTATTCTCCTGGGACAGTTTTCTAGTTATTTGGTATTGATTTCAAGAACTGTGCATTTTTGCAGACTCCTTAGAATATGGATACAGGTCACACACTCTCACATTCAAGTTAAGGGTTAAATATACATCAGTTAAGGGGAATAAATTCTCTAGCTTTCTCAAATGGCATTATGTTAGGTAAACACTAAAGTAAGATATTTAAACAAAAGGAACCCTGTAGTTCAAGCCACTGTGGCTGGTAACATCCTAGTTTGGAGAAGCCCTAAAAATATGATCATGGATTGAAAAGTTTTATGCATGGTTTTTATTTACAGACAAATTTCTAAAAAACCCTAAAAGTACTTTGCTTTGGAAGCACTAGAACCACCATAATTGTTGCGATAAAAATAATACTTTTTCAGTATATTGTAACAAGATTTTCAAAAGTAGTGTTAAGCATGACTATGGATCATAACAATTCCTTTTTTAGTACTTTAGTTTCCTAACAACCCAAAATATTCTTACTGGTTTCTTTTTATAAATGAATTTTGTTTCCTTTTCTGTGTCCTGTAATTACGTGTCACTAACAAACCAAATTGCATGCCAGATTATTGTATTCTGCGATTTGAAACACTTATGGCCAAGTTGCATTATATCCTCTGTCTTACCTTTTTACTTCTGTTATATATTACAGTTCAATTTCACCATTCAGTATTGAGAGCACAAGGCGCCCAAGAAGGTCCGAGTCTCCAGATTCCAGGAAGCGGCGCATCCATAGGTGTGATTTTGAAGGATGCAACAAAGTATACACAAAAAGTTCTCATCTGAAGGCTCACCGGCGGACACACACAGGTATGGCTTTGCTGAGACTATAGTAATACTGCTTAGTACTTATATGGCATATTATAGTCTCAAAATATTGTACAGATAGCAACTTTTCCTCATGACATTCCCCTTTGAAGGAAGTTACAATATCAATAAGTGAATGCTATAGTTTGTACAAAGTGAATGTTATAATTTTGTAGACAGGTATGCTCAGAAACAGGCTGTTGAAGTGGCTAGAGATAGAAATGGAGGGGATGTGTCAGCTCTTGAATAGGGCATTGAGCTAACACTCAAGAGACCTGATTTCTGTTCTCAGCTCTTCCAGTGGGCAAGCAATTCTACCTTTGTTTCCCTTCAGCCATTTGGGGTTTTTTGTCTCTTCTGATTGTATACTTGGGAATAGGAAGGGTCTCTTATTCTGTGTTTGTATAGTGCCTAGCACAGTGAAGCTTTGATGTCAGTCGAGGCTTGTAGACACCTCTTTAAATGAGTAGAAGGCCACATAGTAGGGATGTTAAATATCGATTAATTAATTGAATTTCCATCGACTATTCAATTAGTCAATAAGGCATTCCACCTTTGAAATGTATGGGAGCCTCAGCAGGGGCTCTTGTGCATTTCAAAGATTCAAACGCTGACAAATGCTTTACGTATCTCATGGTGATGTTTTGTGTTTGTTCTTTCTGAAAATATTTGTAAGTACCACAAAAAAAGCTCACAGAATATACATGATTGTGTTGATTGCTTTATACCATCGTGCTTCCATCTCTGCTTCCATTTACATAATAAAATTAAACCAAAAGAGAATGCCAAATTTAGGCAACTAACTGATCAGATAAGAAATTCTGTAATGTGATGTTGAAACTCAATGTATTTGTAAAATACTTTTCCGGTCTCTGAAAGAAGCTCACATAGTCTTCCTCAAATGCAGCATGGATTGTGAATGTACAGTAGGTATTAATCTCATCTTGCGTATATATCTTAGTTTTCCCTTTTGCTTCAGGTGAGTTGAGTCAGTTAGTGTGTAGTATTGGACATTTATAAATGAATTACGACATCTGTGCTCCCAAGGGTGAGCAAGTTCTTTCTGAAAAAAGATCACAGAAACTTGGCATTGCATAATTATAATTGTTCATGCAGTATGCTATTGCGCCATTTGATCTTGCTACAAATAATTTAGCTAAGCAGAATGGTTGTGAAAAATCCTAAATATTTATTTGAACAGTTGATATTTATTTACAGAAAATGAAATAGATACACAATCATTTTGAGAGAGTAAACTTTTAAAAATATTTCATTAAGGATTTTGACAGAAAACTGTAGTTCTTTTAAAATTAATTTTCAAAAAAGAACAGTAGATAGTAACATCAAATGATTGTTTCCCTGTGTGGCCTGGATACTTGACAATACCCTCAGTAGTAAATACTGTTCACCAATGTTACTTCAAATGCTAGTATAGACAATGACTCTTGAATCCACTAGGTGGTGAGCTTGAATAACGAATTGTTTCTGCAATTAGAAAACTTTGAACAGATATTGCTAGTAAGTTAGAATATTTCATAAGTCACAAGTATCAGCTATTACATTTATTATAAGGTTTTTATTTTATTTTGCCAACTAATCAAAAAAGATTGGGAAATATCAGGTGTGATGGAAGCCTGAGGGTCTTATAGTCAACATGTATCAGCTGCAATTTATCATCTCCCTTAAGAAGAAGAAACTATGAGAAATCAGATGACCTGGGTTTTCTCAGGCTAGTTTCTGCCTCACTGAACTCACAGAAAACTGCTAATATATGACTCGTCAAATGAGTAATCTTTATAGATCGGAAGGGTGAAAGCACTGCATTCATACCCAAAGTATGTATTCATTGCATTCTACCCATATACTTATATGGTTCTAATCAGTGTAATAACTGAGTTTTTGTCATCATTCATACCTATTGTGGAATCTAATTGCATAACATTTTGGGGGAAAGGTTGATTGGGTGATGGTGTTATTAGGCAAACACCTGGAATTATAAAGGAACTTGATATGTGGAAGGCAAAATCATTAATTTTAAAAACGTTTTAATAGGCCCTACTGTATTAAGCTTCTTTTAACTCTTTAGAGTCTTCCACAGAATTGGTTAGACATTTCAAAATTAGAAATGTTGATGGAACATTTCAATAAATAAATAAATACTTTTTCGTGGAAAATTTTGCTTCATTTTTCAGTCAGCTCTAGTTTCTAGATTTTTCTCTGTTATTGGAACTGGATGCAAATGTCAAACGTTACAAAACTTGGACCAAAAAAAGTGTGTTTGGGGTGAGGAGGAATTGTGCAAAAATGTTTCACTTTTGTGTGAGTATGTTTTCAGCTCCTCTGTAATGTAATAGAATGGAATTTTTTGAAATTTATATGACAATCTGGCAAATATTGCAAAAATGTTCAGAATTTATCTATTTTTTTCAAACAGCTCTAAATAGAATCTATCTGCATTCCAAGGAACATGAAACAAACATTTTTAAAGTGTTAAGACAAAAAGCCATATCCTTGGGCAGAATGTTCTTTTTCAGGACCAATCCAAGTGTGTTTATTATTCTGAATTTACTAGTGAAGTAAATATCTTCAGGATTGTTTAGGCTAGCTGCCATACCATTGCAGAGATGTTACATGTAGTGGGGGCTTTGGGAAGGAGGGAGTTGTGAAATGAAGAAACATTGAGATTCTTTTTCACCCATAACAGCTTCACTTAACTTTGTTTTAATTTTTATAACATCAATAATTATAATATAGGATTATCAAAAAGGTACGGCTGGAGCTTTTCCTGTCTGGTGGTTGTGTTGGTTTAGGGAAGCCAACCTGTATATTGGCATCTTTGGAAATCTAATTCTCTTTAGCAGTTTTCCTGCACTGATAGAATCTTTCCCTCAAATGTGGCCAACGTTTGTGTCCTGGTCTTTTACAATGTGGCTGGCATTTCTCTCATCTGTAACTGAGTGATCTGCAAGAACTGTGGTTGCCATCTTGATTAAAACAGCTGGACCATCTAGACCAAAGGTGGTCTTTTTATTCAGGGCCTATAAACTCAACAAACAATATTAATAAAACACACACAGAAGGAGAGAGAGAATTTTTAATCTCAAACATTTTAGGCAAATTTAAGACCCAATAATCCTCAGATGCAAAATGGACCAAACGTGGGTGTAAATGTAAAAATCAGGAAATGGAACAATGCACTGCAGGAGCCCATGGCAGCAAGACTGATAAAGGTGCTAATGGCTCAGGAAGTGGAGCTGATTTTTGTACAGAAAATAGAGGCCTGGAAACTGGCCTTTTCCATTGATCTTTGGTGCATCTGTTCCATGAAAGGACAGCTTATAGCCACAGCTTCCCTCCCCACACATCAAGGACAATGTGCTGTGAGCCGTGCAGAACAGATGGATTTTTCCCACAAAAAATATAAGTTCCTAGGTATGGCCTGCAGACCTCTGACAAAATATGTGCCCCTTTGATGCTACCTGAGAATACCAGGGTTCTGAGGCACCTTGTTACCACTGGCTCTTAGCACAAGGAAGTGTTGTCGGTGCCTGCTGTGGGTCCCTGCTCCAGTGGTCTTGGGCAACATGAGTTCACCCTTGTAGCTCTGAGCAGGCCCCATTCTCCCTATACGAGTTAGCAATAGGCACACTCCAGCCCCTAAGCCCTCTGACAGTTGGCCTGGAGTGTCATGCCTCAGGTCTACTGGATGCAGCTTTTCTGCTTCCACAAAAGCAGTACCCCCTGGCTTACCAGTTTCCCAGCAAATCACCATTCTGCTTGATGCACAGCACTAAGGTATGTTCATAAGTGAAAGCAAGTTACATGTTATTTACTCACGTGTAGAGAGACAAGTGATAGCAGGTACAGGTATTGGAAACAAATGGTTACGTATAAATGTAATCATGACACACATCTTAGAGCAACTAGATGCTTTCACGTTTTAGAGAATACTTTTCACCCAAAGTTCTTCCAACAGTTTACAGCTAGCCTAGGCTGTGAACCATTCATGAGACCTTCATATCAACCTGCCTCGTTGGTGAAAGATCCTGGGTGTCTGTTTGCATCCCCAGATATATCAGAACAATCCATTGTTGTTTCTCGCAAGCAGTACATTTCCCCCTCTCCCCTGTTGCTGGTAGCTTTTTCCTGAGTACTCCTTTCATGTAGATTTCACAGTCTCTTAATCAGCATATGACTCAGTATGCAAATAAGCCTACTTTGTGGGACACATCATAGACAATGTCTACAAAAGTGTCTATTACACTATGTTTGAAAGGAACCTGTCCAAGGTATAGCATCTTGACACCTGGTTGGTTACCTATTTTAACTATGTAATTTTCAGTACAAATAATCCCTTAAATGTTATCAGTACACTTCACAATGATTGTGATGCCCTGTGGGATACTGGGCCCACAGAGAGCTCACATGCCACCCGTTTTTGAAATATATATATATATGACATAGGGAAACCCATAAAATCCTATGCATCCCATATGCCTTCTGCCAGTTCAGCTGGCATCAAGAACTCACTAGGTCAGAAATGTTCTGCTCATCTCTCTTTTATCTGGTAAATCTTATAGTACATTATGGAGGAAATTTCAGTTTATACCGGTTAATATTTAACTTTACTGATTTTTTTTTAATTTTCATGAATATAACAGCAATGACCAAGGAAGCCAGATAAGTTAACTTGGGAAGGGGGATTGTCTTTGATCAGTTGCATCCCTTAAATTTGAGAGGAAATACCTGGAGACTTAGACATATTGAAGGCCTTTTGTCAGTGTTGGGCTTTTCAACGGTGTTATGTAGAGACATTACATTTTTCAGTTATGCATTTGTGTACCTGAGAAAGTACCAGTGTTTCCTGTGACAGATGTTGTTTCTTTTCAGCTGGTTTGTAATGCCAGCCAAGTGGAGAGAGGGCTAGTGAATACATGGGTGTTTTGTTTAGTCTCTGCTTTTTCAAACTTTACATTCCTCTCACTCACTCTTGCTCCATATAT